TTCCCACATAAAGAACTATTTTTTACCTTATTAGTTCTGGCACTATCATTTATTAATTCTGATAAAATTTTAACCATTAGTCACTTTACTTTTAAAGAGAAAACTATGAAGTAAGCAATTTTTAACAGGCACATTATTTGGAAGCAAATTTATAAATAAATAACTTCATAACAATCTAGATGCAGGTGACTTTTTCATAGCACAAGTTCTCACATTTGAAAATGGACCCAAATTGGGTTCTGGCCAGGGAGGCAGAGTGGTAGGACCATGAGCTCTCCTCTCCTTGTGACTACAATGAAACCACAACTGAATGCTAAACAACCATTAAAAAAGACTGGAAAATAGCAAAAAAAAAAAAAATCTTCTGCAACTGGAAAAATAAAGAAGGAACCACAGCAGGATGGAAGGAGGGGTGTGCTCATGATATAATTGGGCTCCGTAACCCACAAGTGGGTGACCCACAAGCTTAAGATTTGTTAAGCTGCAGAGACCCTCCCATAGTAGTGAAAGCCCTAAGCCCCACATCAAGCTACCGAGCTGAGATCCAGGCATTGAGAAGGGAAAGAGACTCCAGAACATATGATTTTTAAGGCCAAGGCTCTGATAGCCCTATGGGACTGGGAGAAATGGTGACTCCATTCGCTTGAGAAGCATACATGTAAACTCACATGCACCAGATCCAAGGGTAGAGGCAGTGATTTCATAGGAACCTGGGCCAGACCTGCCTGCTAGATTTGGAGGATCTCCTGGGGATGTGAGTGATGGCTGTGCCTCACTCAGCAGCCATAAAATTTGGTGGCAGGCATTCTGGGAATGTAAATCTACATGAGCTTTCCTGGGATCTGACATCTTGATTGGATTTTTTGTACCAAGTCCAGCCCCAACCAACAGCCTGTAGGGAAGCCTCAGGCCAAACAACATACAAGGTGGGAACACACCCCCACCCATCATCAGAATTCCTAAGCGATAAAGGCCTCTAGACACAGCCTTACCCACCAGAGGTCCAGGGCCAAACTTCACTAAGTAGTGGGCAGGCGCTGGCTCCTTCTGCCAGGAAACTTGCATAAGCCTCTATTCTATCCTTATCCACCAAGGGCAGATACTGGAAATAAAGAAAGCAAGCATCCCAAAGCCTGTGGAAGCAATCCCAAATACATAGAAAGATAAAAAATGTGAAGTGGCAAAGGATTATCTCCCAGACCAAGGCACAAGATAAAATGCCACAAGAAGAAATAAGTGATGAGGAGATAGGCAATTTATCTGAGAAAGTGTTTAAATTAATTATGATGAAGATGTTCAGAGAACTCAAGAGGAGTATAGATGCATAAAGTGAAGTTATGAGCAAAGAGTTGGAAAATATAAAAAAATACCCAGAGTTGAAGGATAAAACCACGAAAATGAACAATACAGTACAAGAAGGCAAGAATAGACTAAATGAGGCAGAAGAATGCATCAGCTAGCTAAAAGACAGATAAGTGGAAATCCTTACTTCAGAACAGAAAAAAATAAAAAAATAAGAATACAAAGGAATGATGATAGCTTAAGAGAACCCTGGGACAAAATGTAGTTCTCTAATATTTGCACTTTAGGGGTCCCAGAAAGAGAAGAGAGAGAAAGGACATGAGAAAAACTTTTGAGAGATAATAACTGAAAACTTCCCCAACATGGGAAAGAAAATAGTCATCAAATTGACAACAATTAGGGATAGGCAGAGAATATTAAAATTAGTAAGAGAAAAGCAACAAATGGCAGACAAGGGAATTCTCACAAGTTTATCAGCTGACTTTTCAACAGAAACTCTACAGGTCAGAAGGGAGTGGCATGATATATTTAAACTGATGCAAGGGGGAAACTTACAACCAAGAATACTCTATCCAGCAAGGCTTTGTTCCGACTTGAAGAAATCAAAAGCTTCATAGTAAACAAAAGCTGAAAGATTTCAGCACCACTAAACCAGCTTTACAAAAAGTACTGAAGGACCTTCCATAGTCATCAAATGAGAGAAAAAGAGAAAAATAAGAAAGAGAAAAAAAGAGAGAGACCTACAAATGACAACTTTGGCTGTTTGGGGAATTTTGTGGTTCCTTACAAATCTTGGAATTGTTCTAGTTCTGTGAGGAATGTCTTGAGTATTTTGAAATGTGTTGGGTTGAATCTGTGGATTGCTTTGGGTAGTGCGGCCATTTTGATACTGTTGATTCTTCAAACCCAAGACCTCAAGAAATCTTTCCATTTCTTTGTGTCATTTCAGTTTTCAGAGTATAAGTAACCTCCTTGGTTAAGTTTATTTCTAGATCTTTTGTTGTTTTTGATGTAATGGAAACGTTAGTACCAGTTATAAAATTCTGGCTTTGAAGTGAAAAAAAAGTGAATGAAGGGCCACAAATGGCAAAACATACTACTATTTTATGGGTGAGTTGTATTCCATTTTATATATATAAATATATATACATTTCATCTCCATTGTCTATTCAACTGTTGATGTGCACTTGGGATGCTCCCATGTCTTGGCAATTATAAATAATGTTGCTGTTAATAATAGGGTGTATGTATCTTTTTGAGTTAATTCTTACTTTGTGGATGGCTTTGTTCCTTTGTTAACTATGTAAGTTAAAAAAGCTAAAACTCTAAACATTCTTAGAAACAATGAACAGTACATATATGTAAATTTAAAAATATATGTGCAAAAAAACTATCAAGCCATTAAAGACATAGAAGAAACTTAAAAAATATATTGCTAAATAAAAGAAGCCAATCTGTGGCCAAACTCACAAAGAAGAAAAAAGAGAGAGCACAAATTAGCAAAATAAGAAAGGAAAATGGAGAAATTGTAACAAACAAAATAGAAATACAGAATATCATATGAGAATATTATGAAAAACTATATGGAACCAAACTGGATAACCTAGAGGAGATGGACAAGTTTCTGGAAACATACAGTCCACCAAAACTGAATCAAGAAGAAACTGAACACTCGAACAATCCGATCACTAGAAAGGAAATAGAAATAGCAATTAAAAACCTCCCTACAAATAAAAGTCCAGGACCAGACGGCTTCACAGGGGAATTCTACCAAACATACAAAGAAGAACTCATACCAGTCCTTCTCAAACTCTTCCAGACGATTGAAAAGGAGAGAATACACCCAAACTCATTCTATGAAGCCACTATCACCCTGATACCAAAACCAGGCAAAGACACTACAAAAAAAGAGAATTATAGGCCAATATCACCGATGAACATAGACGTCAAAATTCTCACCAAAATTTTAGCAAATAAAATCCAACAACACATAAAAAAGATTATACATCATGACCAAGTGGGGTTCATCCCAGGGACACAAGGCTGGTTCAACATACGCAAATCAATCAATGTAATACATCACATCAACAAGACAAAGGACAAAAACCACATGATCATCTCAATTGATGCAGAAAAAGCATTTGATAAAACTCAATACCCATTTATGATAAAAACTCTCGCCAAAGTGGGTATAGAGGGAACATATCTCAACATAATAAAAGCTATATATGACAAACCTACAGCCAGCATAGTTCTCAACAGTGAAAAACTCCAAAGCTTCCCACTAAAATCTGGGACAAGACAAGGATGGCCACTACAACCACTCCTATTCAACATAGTCCTGGAAGTCCTAGCCACAGCAATCAGGCAAGAGAAAGAAATAAAAGGGATCCAAATTGGAAAAGAAGAGGTAAAAGTGCCATTATAAGCTGATGACATGTTACTATATATAGAAAACCCTAAAAGGTCCACACAAAAGCTACTAGAGCTGATTGAACAATTCAGCAAGGTAGCAGGTTACAAAATTAATGTTCAAAAATCAGTTGCATTTCTTTACACTAACGATAAG